GAGCAATTCTAATACTCCTACCTCCATAATATTTTATAAAATGGGCTTCATGTGTAGTTCCATATTTCTTTATCAAATGATTTATCATTGTTTCTTAAAGGAAATAACCATAACAAGTGTATGATTTTTAACTGCTGGTTAAACCAGGTAAACAAACTTAGTATATGTAGGAAAAACCATATTTGACCAAAATCACTAGTATGATAAATTTGTCACCAAATCAAAACAAGATGAGATAGAATGTAAAATATAATGCAGGAGTGGTATGGAAGTATAATACTTCTAGATTCACAGTACTTTTTAAAATGGGATTCCCAGATATCACCATATATTCACCAAATCATTTACTATTTCTTTAAAAATTTTTTTAAGAAATGTATTCAACATTTTACGACTTTTTAGAGAGTTTTTTTTTTTTACTATTTCATGGCCATATTTGCCCCAAAACACACGTATGATAAATACATCGCCAAATCAAGAATGGAAAAAGATAAAATAGAATGCGAAACGTGATGCAGGAGTGGTGTAGTAAGAGTTCTACAGTCACGATAATTTATAAAATAGGTTTCACATTTATCTCCTTATATTCACCAAATCCTTCATCAGTTTTTTTTAAAGAATATAAATGCCTTCAACATTTTACGACTTTTTAACTGCTTTTAAATCAGGAAAACAAATAGAGTGTCCTCAGTATATCTAGGCAAAACCATATTTGCCCAAAAACACAAGTATGATAAATTTATCACCAAATCAAGAATGGAACAAGATAAGATAGAATGCAGAATACATCGGGAAAGTTAAGGAAATATAATACTTCCACAACCCCCTGACACTCCCCTAATTTCGGGACTCTAAAGTCCAATTTAAACACATTCCTATTAAAAAGTCGTTTTCAGCCGAAAAGAGGGGGTGTGGAGAGGGTCATTTTTTCCTCGTTTTTTATTTTCCACCTCCGTATTTTGAGACTGTTTATGTTAACTTTATTTTTTTCAACTTCTATAATTTTGCAGGGGGATGTAGGAAAGAAATCTATCGATATGGATCTTTTGTTTAAGTGCAGGGGGGGGGAGTGGAAACTTTCGAAGAAAAGAAAATACCCATGAGGAAAAAATGTAGGGTAGAAACGGTTCAATGTTAATTTGAAATAAAAGATCGGATTTTGGGCTGCCTCAATTATAATTCGCTTAGGTTTCTTCTGGAATAAATACTTCTGTCAATCACTTATGGAAAGTTTTATAATATTTTGAATGTAACTTAAAGGCCTTTTCGAATATACGTCTCACAATATATATATTTTTTTCAAATTGATTGTTAAATGAATTCGAAATTTTCGTTTTAAAAATTTTTCTTTATATCGTATAAACTCCTCGCTGTATTCAATAATTTTGAAAGCAAACTTAAAGCTTATTTGTGAAGCTGGATTTGCTTTCCATATGTTGTTTAACTGGTTGTTGGTTCAATTTGAAATGAAACGGAAATTTTGTTTTAATTCGTTTTCGTTATCATATAAATTCTTCGGTGCATTAATAATTTTACAATTTTCGAAAGCAAATTTCAAGAGAATTTGTGAAATCGGCGCTTCTAACAGTTTATTTCAAACGATTTTTGGTTGAATTTGAAATTAAATGTAATTTTTATTACTTTTGCTTTCATCTCGTAAAAACTTATTGATGAGAGCCGCAATGACTCAGGGGATAGAGTGTTCACTTTCCGAAGAGGTAAACCGGGTTCGAATCCCACCGATGGCTGGTCGAGACGAATTCTACTCTCGGTTCACACCAACCACAGTGCTAATGTAAAATATTGTCAGTGGTAGATGGATCATGGGTTAGAGTCTCCTTGCCATCAGGCTAACCATGGGAGGTTTGTGTGGTGTTCACCTCCATGTAACACAAATGCTGGCTAGTTCCATCAAAAAGTCCTCAGCGAAGGCAAAATTTTCCTAATATTTGATCAAAGAGTTCCCTTGTCTTCTGGATTGGGTTCAAAATTAGTTACGGAGTTGAATATCGTAAACCCAAAAAATTGGGTAGGCTCTTCAACGACGGTTATAAACTAAAATATAAAATAAAACCCATTGATTGAGCCGCGGTGGCTCAGGGAATAGAGCGTTCGCTTTCCAATGAGGTGGTCCAGTTTCGAATTCTAGTGGTGGCTGTTTGGTACGACTTCCGCTCTCTGCACACACTTACCGCGGTGCTGACTAGAATATCCTCAGTACTTGGCGGATTATGGGTTAGTATCCCCTTGAAGTCAGGCTAAGCGTGCTTTGCCTCTCCATATCACCCAAATAGTTCCATCAAAAATTCTTTCACTAGTTCAAATTTCTCCCGATCCAGAAGTTCCCTTCTGTTCTGGATAGGGTTCAAAATTACAAGGAGTTGAATATTGGTAGTCGTAAACTCAAATTGGGTCGGCTGCTCAACGAGGTTTACTAAAAATACATTTTCATCAAAAAGAATTTACAATTCAAAAAAAAAAAAAAAAATTAAATCAGAGATTACATATTTAGTCAGGTAGGTAGTAGGTATTATAAAGTTTTTTTTTTGTTTACAAATTGTTTAAAATGCTAGCTAACATGTTTAAAAACATGTATGGTGATATTTGTTGTTCATACCGCATCTTTTAAATTTGTCACAAATATATCATTCTTCTCAGAAACAAACAAGCAAAAAAGTAGTTATGCCACTACGTAATTTCCATATAGGATATTCTTGTGACATAATGAGTAAACTGTAAGAAATTTCGGATCAAATTATGGTATAAAGTACCTGCACTTTGGGTGCATCATGATCATTGTAAAAAATGGACACTCAAATATCACGAAACTTTCCTTGATTTTGACGGAACTATTTCCTGGTATATGCTCTGAAGAAAAATTTCTTCTAAGTGGCGTCACTTCTTCGAAGAAACGAATTTCGTCAAAACTAAGAAACGAATTTCGTCATTAAATTTTTTTCCATTATAAAAGAAAAAAATACCATGAGGCACTACCGTAAATCAAATGGTATCCAACGGGTAGTATTGTTTCGTGGGTACCACATAGGTAGATCAACATCATGCCAACAGCGCAAGGACAGACCGAACGAAGAGATAAATTACATCCGTGCCCTAAGCGAAACGCGAACCGAGGATGTACCATGAGGTCAACTCCTTGACCACCATACTGCCTTGCTAACTTATTTCGTCAATTTAGTTTAGATTGTCTAGTCTTCATTTTAGTTAACAATCTCCCATAATGCATTGCAATGAGGTTCCGAATCGAGGAAACATTTCGTCATATTTTAGTGGGTTCGCGTTTCGTTAAAAATCACGTGATTTCGTGACAAAATGATTCTAAAAATATACAGCTATATAAATAAAAAGATATACAGCTCAACGATTGCTAAATTATCAAAAGTGAGAGTTTCATTTCTGAGAGAGCGTAGAATCTATTTTTACGGTGATATATTATACCACAATTTTTACAATAATATATATTTACTTTGAGTGTTTCAGTGATTTTACAGTAATTATTACTGTAAAAATTACGGTACATCAGATTTTATACCGTAACATCGGCAAAACTGAATTTTACATTAAAAAATACCGTCACCCCGAGTGCTAGTACTTTTTAACGTAATGTGATCTAGAATTTTTTTACTGTGTTAAATATAAATTTTATCATTTGGTAAAAATTAACACTATCGAACGCAATATAATTGGCAATTTTATTTGTTCAAATATCTTAAATAAATAAAGTTTTATAAACATTTTACATTTTCTTGAACATTTACTTACGTTCATCTCATGAAATCTTTTGAAAAATTTTCATTTCTCACGCAAAACACGCTTAAAATTCCATTAAAACATCGGCAGTAATAAAAATGTAAAGAATAATTGGTGCATTCTGTGAAATATTATCAGTAGATAAGAAAATATTTTGAGAAGAATATTTATTTATCAGTAAAAGATAAGTGGTTGCATAAGAATCGCATTATACATAAAAGATAAATGTCATACCCACGAAAATATTTATTTCTAAGAGGTACAATCTTGGTAACTTGCAGCGACACATGTTGCATCGAGGCATAAAATATGAAACTGCTAGATCTGTTATTGCTTATATAGACAGAAAAGGGCGTAAGAAATGAGTGTCTAAAATATATAGGCAACTATCGTGGTGGCATGGTTATTGATCAACGCGTCTTTTGGCTATACCTCAAATGGGTTTCTTTTTACCATTTTTTCCCCGCATCATCCTTTAAACAAGTGATATTGGACAACTTCTAAAAAAGATTTGGAAATCCGGGAGTGGATATAGTCTTTTTAGAGGACTTTATGAAAAAACTTGTTTTATTGAAGAAAAAAAAGAGTAATATGCGATGCACGTGGATATATTGAAAATATTAAATTAATGATAAATATCAGCTTGATATTAAATCTTAATAATTAAATTATTTCAAGTATTCACATCCTCGATATTTCTTTCACCCTCTATTAAGCATTCATAGTAGTGAATGTCAGCAATTTTATAGTAAATTAGTTTTGATATTTAAGAGTACATACGTCGCACTAGAGCTGTACAATTTGCTATTTTCGACATCTCTGAGGAGGATCATGCCATCACATCTTTTGTAAAAGGAATGGCTCCTCTCTTTGGTTGCTCGACGACCGGCACTTTATGTTGAAACAGTTTAACAAAGACCTTCGGTCTCTACGCAGGCTGATCAAAGTGGTCACCCACTCGCTCACTGACCAGTAATACTTGACTTCTGTGATGTACTGGAAACCGTTTCTTTACGATGAGTCCACAGCACGGAGTGTTATTTATGAATGGATGGATAAGCGATAATAAAAAAATATGGTTTATGACATGATTGATACATATTAATTAGCATATTTGAGGTCATACTTTAAGCCAATAAGATTGTGTCACTCCTGGAACAGTAAGTTCAATAAATTTATCGAGTTTTTCTTTATTTTGAAGTGCATGCAAATTTTAGAAAAATAGTATCAAAAACAGTGAGGCACATTTTATTTGGTTCAATACACATCTATTTATTACATGATTAATTGACATTTTTCTACTACTAAAATTCAAATTTTTGTTTTAATCTATATTTAGTTACACGTATTTGGCTTAGAATGAAGATAAAAATCACAATTACATATGATTACAAACATTTGATCGATTGCTCCAAAATGCATATTGCCGTCATTTTGTTAGTTAAACATAAATATAAAATCCAAGAAAGACTTTCAGTATAAATAAAATAAAATTTCTTGACTAACTAAGTAAAATATATACAAGCAATAAAATTATACATATATACAATAATTTCGATTAGGGTACAAATAAAATTCTCATTGTGAGACAATTAAAAAGAACGATTGAAATAATAATAAAAAGTATGCAAATTTGTAGTTGAGAGTGCTGAAAGTCTCTTCTCTCAGCTATTCCCGCAATTAAAGAAAAGAAAAAGAAAAGATTCTTCTCAAGAGAAAAGCAAATCTAAATATAAATTTCATTTTCTTTTTTTTCTTAACAAAGAAGTTTCACTCTTTCTTTGGAAAAACTAATTAGAAATCACGAATTTTGGACACAACTTACTTATGGTACGTATATGGGACGTACAAGCATATGGTACGTACAAACAAATGGTACGTACAAAAAAGCTGATTATCTTTGTCTCACAATAAATATAAATGAGACGACATTTAAGTTGATAGCTTCAATGCGAATGAGAATTATATCTGTTCAAAGTTTAACTTTGAAGCTACTCAATAACATATTTGATTTCAAATATCAACGAAATTTCAAGAGATTTGCTCGAAATAAATATTAGTCCTTTAATCAGGAATTTTTATCTAGGAAAATACATTTTTCTTTTCTTTTTGAAAACCTTTGTGGTTTCAAGTAAATTAATATGTATTTTTGATTGAATTAGTTCTAATATGAATGAATTACGAATTGGTAACTGTACTTTTCATTTTGTGGTTTAGAAGCATCTTTTTGAATTAAATAGATAAGAAAGTATATAATTCATTAAAAATTAACGAATAATTATTTATATATTTTATATTTATTAAAAGCTATATATATAGAAGAAATTAATTTAAAAAAATTAATTTAAAAAAATTAAAATTGGGAAAATATTCTTCTTAGAACTGAGTTGAAAGCGTCTGAGTTCAATAGAAGTTTTGAAAATAAAGCTTTGCATGAAATTATATTTTTAAAAAAAGAAAAGAAAAAAAGATAAATAATAATCTAATTTATTTTTAGCTGGTTTGGAGTAAAATAATTCATTATTTTTAACTGTTATGTTTAAGCTTAACTCAGTATACATTCACATGATTATTGAGATTAATTCATGCATAATTTACCTCCTTCATCATCTAAATTACGATATTATCATACCTTTCTAACAGCTACATCATACATTCTTCGTGAAAATTTAAAATCTAGTATATAATAAAATATTATCCATCTACCAATCTAAGAGCTCTTTTATATCCAATTCAAATTTTGCTTTATGTGTTTAGCTGATTAAAAAATATCATTCTCCGCAGTAAGGTCTATTATTTCTAAGAGATCAACTTCAATATTTAACAATCGATTATTAAAAAATAAACAATAAATATAGCAATAGGAACATCATTGTTGTGAAAATATGGTTTGAACTAAACTTAGAATTTTTTAAAATGCAATAAATTTCATCAATTACATATAAAAGGCAAAACACTAAGAATCACACGCACAAAATACTACGAGATAATGTGGATATATCCATTCATTGTTAATAGCAATACAATTCACAACATTTAGTATTTTTTTATAAGTCATACCCGTTTACAAATACCCGCTTTACAATTTTGATTATCATTACATATACGGAAATTATCAAGAATGAATCAATGAAGAAATTCTTGAGTAACAACTTATTAATTCTTGATACATTTCAAATTAAATATACGTAGTACCTCTTATGATAAATAAAATACTTTCTGTTAAGTGCCTCATTTTTACGTACTACACAATAGGAACTATCCTATAAAGATATTTCACTATAGGAACACCCAGGAAATATGAATAAAATCATACGCATACATTTGAAAACAACTTCACTTTTCAAATTATAAAGGACTTCTTCAATTGAAGAATTATTTCACATTACAAATTAAAGCATTTTTCTTAACTTATAAGTGAAGTTTTTCTTGATGTAATATTCTACCGCAATAAATATTATATTGAACAACAAGGAAGTTATGGAAAGAAGACATTATAAAATAACTTCGCAATAAATTGCATTTTGAACTTCGTAATTTTATCAAATTTGTTTAAGCAATTAAATTGAGTTAATTATAATTCAATATTAAATATTTTTCTTTTTTATAAGACTCTACTTTATACAAAAATTATACAATTAAAAAAAAATTACAAATGCAACATAACTTTTTAAAAGAAATTGATATTTAAAAATGCGTTATAAGTTTAAAAACGTTAACTTATTAAATTAATTGAGTCCCAAATACTCTAGTATTTAAAGAATCTATAAGAGTTTTCAAACTTGGAAAAACTATAAAATAAATTATATATATAAAAGTGGATAAACATTATTCTTCATCACAAGATATAGAATTTAAAAAAATAATTAAAAAACACTTAATTACGTCTTTAAATAAATGTTATTTAGCTTTGGTACTTAAATTAAATCATTTAGCTCAACTCAAGGAATTTTTGAAAATACAATATGCTAACCATAACGTATTTGGATCAATATTACAACTTCAAATAACAAACACTTTTTTTTTTATCATGTTACGAAAAATTTCAACATTTACTAAATCTAAGCAGGCAAAAAGTAAAGTTAGTTTTTATTATACAACCATATTAAGAAAATAAGCTCCAGGAAAAGTGAATTCCAGCTTTTAAAACGTTTGATTCATCATGGAAAAAAAAAATTATCTACATGAACTATATGCGCAATTTTGAAATGGATCATAAAAATGCATATCTAAAATAACTCCTTGGTTTAAAGTGAAATTTGTGAAAAAATGCAGCGAAGATGAAAAGCATGGGGTGTAGAGAAAAAATCTGCAATCCCCTACGTAGACTTCCTCTTGAATAATGTATGAGATCCAGTTCACAATGTTTAATCGCTCGTATGATTAGAGATGCTTTCGCAGGATAATAAAACTATTATCAAAGCTCTTAAGTCAAGATGTTTCTTTCTTGTCGAGTTCGGATTTTTTTTTTCTAACCCCTCCCCCGCTTTTGGTGCGACGTTATTACAATTTCAAACTCTTTTCACGAGATAAACGAAATGCGTGAAAAAAGTTATCATAAATCAGTTTCAAGCTCTTGACGAAGATAAAATGGCTGCCAGTGAATTATTCTTCTGAATTTATACATAGCAAATCGAGCCAGAAGTAATTTTAATACGTGTTTTGTTTTGATTATAAATTGCCTCAGTGTGAAGATCACATTGGATTGGAAATGACCTCATGCATAAACACCGTACCTTACTTAAATTAATTTGAAAACTTCAATTATTAAATTTATTTTGAATTTTTATTTTAGAATAAAAGGTTTACAAAATATAAGTAGAAACTCTTATGTAGTATACTTTTAATGTTACAAAATAAATGAGAAATTATACAACTTAAAATATAATTGTATTTTCATTAATGGAGAAATTTCGTTGAAATTTGAGTAAAAAAAATATACATTTTAAACTATAATTGTTTTCAGCTTATTTGAAATTTGTGTTACTAAACCATTCTGTACTCGAGTTATTTTTAAATAAGTAACAATAAATAATTTTAATTGAATTTTCTCAATAGATTTCATTTGATAGATTTTGAAAACGTCTTTAAATAATGATTAAAAAAAGCACCTATTAAACATCATAATTATTTTTTTAATATTAACAGCTGTTTGGTTATTTCGATCCGAATAGGATAACAATAGGCTACCGCAGATTTGCCACAAGCAAAAGGACTCATTTTCCAAATCAACAACTCCTTTCGGCAGTTTTGTTTGTATGAATAACCACCCTTTGCCAAAGGAAAATTTGGTTACTGAACAAAAGGAGGACAGATCTAGAAAGGGTTTTTCTGTTGAAAAACAGGGAAGTCACAAAACTTTTGTGTGGACTAGTAAAGATTCGCACAAAAACCACTTCTATAAAGCCTAAATGGTTGTCCTTTTCAAAAAGCAGGTGAGAACTCAGGCAAAAAAGGTAAAGATTGTGTGTCAAACCATGAAACAACAGAAGAAGAATAGTCTCCCTATAAAAGGGTGAAATCTGGAAAAGACTAATGGTTTTTGTACGTCACTTTTCGTGAGACGCCAACTGAGATGGGATACCGATATGGGTGTTCTTCAAACCCTTTTTTGATGGAAATATGGTAGTCCCTTTACGTAGTTACACTTCAGCACCAGGTTCCAAAGGGTAAATTGAAGGTTTTGGACCAAAAGGGGTGGAGAAAAAGTTTTACGGACGTTACGTTTAATGACAGCAGTCAGTAGTACCCTAGTACTGGAATGTCAGCTAGTAAAAGGGTTAGGAACTTCAAAAATAAAATTTGACACCTAAACGAGATTAATCATTTTTTAATCTTTATAATCGAACCACCTGGCTTAAAAATAGATTTTTAAAAGATTTTTTTTTTTGAAGCTGCAATCAATAAGGCATTGATAAAGTTCAAAAATGCAAATATTTTGTCCTTTTAAAATAAACCAATGATATTGGATATGGTGGACCTTATCAATTATATATAGCATACAGTTTTTTTTTCTGTTTAATTTTCCATTATTCGCCACTTTAGTAATATTTAACTTCCTTAGAGAATAAAATAATGCATATACAGATAAGTATTTTTATAATTATAAAACAAATCGTAAAAAGCACAATAAGATAAAATTATAAGTCATTCCAATAATATTTATTTTACTTATTATAATGATAAGAAGTACATATAGTACTTGTTTGACTCATCATAGTTTTTAACCATTAAATGCGTGATGATATTGCCGTGATCTTCCTCATTTTTAATCCATAATCCCTTAAATATTTTGTAAAGAAAAATATAATTGTAAGAAAAATAATAATAATCAAAAGCAAGCTGATTAAAATGAAAAATCAGTGCAACGATGTTTATGCATGTAAGTTTTCAGCTGTGTATGATGATAAATGTATACAAATTAGCACTTGTATACATAAATGTATACATTTTAAATAAAAATGCCAGTGACTAAAACTCATAGTATAATAGTGAATACACTCATTAATTTCATTTTAACTTTAGTATTTAAACACTGTCCATCAATATTTTTTGAAAGAATCTGTATTTTTCACCATTTCTCTCTTTCATGTAGTTTGGTATAGAACTACAAAATGAAACTTTTTAATACTTTTAGTGAAAAAGAATAAAATATTTGTTAAAAACCATATATGTTAAAACCATAAAAAAATAAACTTTAAATTTACTGTTTAAAAAAAAATGAAGTAATCATTTTATAAACTTGTCTTTAAAATCACATTTTTGTGCATATAAGGATTACTATTTGATTGTTTGCTCTTCTTTAAAAATTCAGTACCCGTTTCGATGATATTTACTGTCTCACAACCCATTCCTGATAATTATCATAAGACAATTCATGATAGTTGCAATCTGACAATTCATTACAGATAATTACCATTTAACAAATCATTGGTGATAATTACCTTCTGACAATTCATTGCAGATAATTACCAATTACACTAATTCATAGTGCAACTCAAAAGAAAGTGCATATAAAAATACTGCTCTCGAATATAATGTATAAAGATTATCACGAATATTGCTTAACAAACTTAGGTTAGTATAGTTTCTCGTTGTTGTGGAAGAAAAAACATCCCATCTTTGCTGCTCTCGTGACTAAGTGTAAAACCAGAAATATGCATAAGAGTTTGTTTATTTTGTAAAATTTCAGGAAGATCAGGATCGCAATTTGGATTGCTCAATGGACTTGTGGAAGGAACTGGATTTGGAAATTTATTTTCCTTCTTAGCTTTCATTCTGCGATTCTGAAACCATATCTTAATTTGCCTTTCTGTAAGACCAAGTGTATGAGCTATTTCAACACGACGTTTTCTTGTGAGGTATCGAGTAAGATGGAATTCTTTTTCCAATTCTAAAGTTTGATATCTGGTGTAGGTTTGGCGACTTCTTTTTGGTCCTGGATTTGTATCTGCAAATATAGAAACATATTATAGAGGTAAAAATTTTAAAACTCCAAAATATATCATAAGTTATTAGAATCATTTGCATTCTATTCCAGTGGTTTTTACGGAACCCTAAATGATGAACCCTTTTTCGATTATAAGCAAAGTATATAAAGATAACTTTGAGCGCATTAACAAATAAAATAAAACTTTACTTTAAGAATATTTAATAAGAGGAATGATAATCATTCTATCAAATTATGTCCAACAATTGAATTCGCAATCCTGGAGATGAATCTTGTCTCTTTTGGTTTATTTACATAAGCTGAAAATGAATGAAATAAGCCAAATTATGATTTTAGTTGAAATGAATACTAAGAACAACTGCAATAAATGCACGTTGAAAATAGTGAATGGGAAAGCATATTGTTTTACTTAGATTTAAAAAGTATGATGTTTTTTTAAAACTTGTCTTTTTTACAATGCATTGTAATTAAAAGAATAATATATTCTCCTAAAAAAAAGTGCTTTTTTCCCATTCGCAAATAGGACATAACGCGTTAAAAGCTCTCAAAAAAAAAAAAAGAAAAAAAAAAGGCGAACATTTTAAAACTTGGCAGGCGTAAATGAGAAGAGTAATTTGAAATAAAAACGTAAAGTTGCCAATAAAAAATTGGAAAAATAAAGGGGAGGAATAAAACTAGAGAAACTACAGTAGCCGAGAGAGTAAAAAAAGAAAAAAGATGAAAAATGGAACAAGAAAAACCACAGTGGCCAAGAGAGCAAATCAAGGTAAAATGTATTTCTACATGTTGTTGATAGATAGTGAGGAAATAATGTCATTAACATGGTTTAAAAATTTTATTTCTAATCACTATTGTTTCTTCTCATTCACGTCTGGCATGTCTTGAAAATGGGCCCTTACTTTTGAGCGCTTAAAATATGTCGACTGTTATTTCCTACTTATATATTTTTGAAGTGAATGAAGTTTTTTAATCAGGTAATATCTTTCCGTTTCAGTTTCTTATGACTATTTATTTAATTATATAAAGTTGAAAATGACGTGTTTTTAAAATTCAATTTCAAAAATACAAGTTTCAAGAATGAAACAATAGCCTTTAGTCAAAATATCGCATTAATTAAATTAATTAAAGCACCACACCCTCTAAGATTAACTGGAATTATTGGAACAATAAATTCCAATTCTCTTCCTCGCAGTTTAACAAGGACATAATCTCATTACACTGTACTCAGGGCCAGAGACATCTTTAAACTTGAAAATTAAAGAAAAACACGGTTGACACGAACAAACAAAGGAAAAAAGAAGCCCATAGATTTTCCTATCAAGCTCTTACCTGCATAGTGGACCCCACTAAACAAGGAACCTGAATGAACTTGATTAGTTTACTTAATCAATCTATCTTCCAACTTGTGTGGAACTCGTGTATCTTGATTTTAACGCGAAGAAAAAGATCGATATTTCTCACTGATTATTTTGTATTTTCGAAAGCTCAATTTAAAGATAAAAATGGAAAATAACAAAATTTACCTTATCGAACTTTAGTAACCGATGAAGAAAACTTTTCATTTATAACGTGTCCTTTGTTTGCTCTGTTTTGTTCTTAAAATATTTATTATTACTCTTAATTGTATCATTTTTTTTCCAATGCCCACCTGGAGAATGACATTTCCTCATACAGGTACCTGAAAGGTGGATTTGTTTCTTACCATATTAGGTGAGACAACGTTGCCTTCACAGTAAGGACAGATAATACAGAGAATGAAAGAGCATCCATGCCTTGCCCGGGATTCGAACCCAGAACATTTCTGATGCAAGGCCAGTTCCCTGACCCTACACAGGCCGGTTGGTCTCTTAATTGTATCAAATTAGTGACAATTAGTATGAAAAAAAGGTATAGGAAGATCGAGTTTATCAAATAATGGGGTTTACCAAATAATGGGATTTGAAAAACAATTTTGGAATTAGATTTATATATATTTTTTTTTTGCAATAGGTATTTGTTTGCATTTATCAGGTAATACTTTTAAAATCAGGTAAATAGCTAAAGATTTGAATTTTCAGAATTGATTCAATGTAAAATTATTAAACATAAGCTGCCAAATTATATTGAAAAGATGAAACTACCACGGATTAAAGTCTGGTAAAATTACCGTCCTATATGGCAATGACATTACTATTAAAAAAAGAGTTAATTCTGATTCATGAATCCAAATTATAAGGTATTTAAACCATTCATTTGGTAATTTTTCCCCTCACGTGCTAACGATTAACCGGAAATTCTGGTTTTAAAAATTATGGAGCCACAATTAGTAAAAAATACAAAACTGAAACTTAAATTTAAGCGAATAAAAGTTTTCATGTACATTCTCCCAGGTATTATGATAAAATTATCAAATTTTACCACATTTACAAAATTTTATCTCATATTACGAAACCATATTTCATTTCACATTTTATCAAAATCATTACCAAAATTCTTCGATAGAATTTACTGTCAATGTTACCATATTCTTGTAATTTTAACCCTTTTTCTCCATGTTTTAATGTAATTTGAGACTGCGAAAGGCTACAAAAGTGTTTAGATGTTCTCTTGCTAGCACTACATTAAAAGGCATTAAGTGAAATTTCAAACCGAAAAAGAGAGGTTATTTGCAAAAATCTTGAGAAATCTTAGTATTTTATGATAAATAGTTCAATAACAACTAGCAAAAGCTTATTCCGGATGCATCGTTCCTTTTCTATTTAATCTAAAAAAATCAAGCAGTAGTTATATATTGCATTCGGATACTGGAGAGACTCGTTCACTGAAAAAAAGTTTCGGCTCATTATAAAACTTTCATAAACTTTTTTACTACTTTTAAACAAACGTTTGGTTGAGTTATTAAGTATAAAAATGTCAAATTTGTAAGGTATAAAAAATTGCAGCGATCTGCTACTTCTGTAGGCGCTTTTGCTCTGTGAGACTAGAACTAATTGTCAAATGACTTATGACAGTTAGTGCTTTAGCTTGAAATTTTGATTTTCTTTTCAATTTTTGTTTTAGTCTTCAATTGGCTTAGTTTTTCTCTTCGCTTTTTCCCTTAATGTTTTTTTAGTGATAAAAAAGTTTTTAATTTACTAACTTCTTTGTTTAGACATCAAAGACCGGCTGGCAAGACCGCAAAATTTGGACGTTTTGAGACGTATATCTAGGATTCTAAGTAATCCCATACACCTCGGGCTTGGAAAAATATTTTTCTGGCTCGAATGAGCTCGGACCTCCAAAATCAAGAATTATATGGAACAGAATTTCTTACTTTCAGAAAAAAATAATTGAATAAATAATAAAATTTCCTATCGGATATTAATACTAATCTCCAATAGAATTTTTTACTTCGAAGAAAAACTGCCCAGCATTTTCTATGAATTAATTTAAGGCCAGAGTACTCCATTTGGTTAATTTAAAATATTCACTGTTTCTAAGGAATAGCTTTTGGTATTTGGAGCCACTGACAGATTAATACTGATTAAATATGGAGAAACTGATAATTAAAGTAAAAATAATATTTATAGAGTTTTTTTTTCATTAAAAAGGAAATTTCTCATATGCGTTTATCCTATAATTTTTTTTTAATTTCGCAAAATTTAATATTATAATTATATTATGTTATATAAGATAACACTCAGTATTATAAGAACATTATTGTTATTTTTAATCGGATTCAAACCCCATTAACAACTGATAGATCGAAAAGAATGTAATAATCTTATAATATTTCTTCATAGAAAATGTTCAAAACTTCTTATAATCATATAATTGAGTAAAGAGAAATTATATTTAAGTAAAAAAAAATCAAATGAAGTACTTTTTTTGACACTTTTAGAGGAACTTTTTATTATTATTATTTATTTATTTATTTAATTAATTTTTTATTGAAAAACGAAAACAAATGCATATTGCATAATACATATTCATATCATTAAAATTGTGGATATCTCTCACTCATGACGCAGTTCATAATGTACCGAACACTAAGCTTTTATGAATGAAATGACTATTTTTTTAAAATTAATAATATACTTATAAAGAACGCATCGACTTGTTAAAGCATTCACTCATTTTGTCAGTAAATATCTCTCTTAATAAGCGTTTACGCATTTCAGAAATCTATTAAGAGAATTAACCTCGTTCTCAGTTTTAATTAAACACTGACAAGCATAATCATATTCTTAAGTAAAAATGATAAATTCATTTCTTGAAGATTAATTTATATGAAAAATTGTTAATTTAGTCACCAAGTTTCCTTGTAAGATTTGAATACACAATCGGCATGAATAGAAGAGAAAATATTTAGATGTCTATAAGCTTCTCAAAATTTATTTTTTTGAAAAATATATGTTCTTACTTTCAAGAATTAGGAAAACTTTAAACTAGATGACTTAAACCCTTTCACACCATTGTCGCTATAGATGTTTGTCATAACAAATATGGCAATGCTTTTCTTTTATTACACTTTTCGTTCTCGTTTGCAAAAGAACTACTATTTAGAGGTTGATTAGTTCGTGAAGCTCCTTTTTTATTCTTTTGTTTATTTATGAAAAGCAGGAGATAGCTTCTGTTTTCACTTCAAATAAACAGAAGAAATAAAAAAGCTTTTTTTTCTATCTATAAAGCAATCACATTTGAATGGGTAAATTAAAATTTCTAAATCGAATCAAAATTTAGCTTTTATCAAACGTTTCTGGCTGCCATCTTTAAATAAAAAAATATCTTGATGAAATCAAAAACAAATTGAGAAAAACATTGACCAGAATTGGGAAGTATGAAATACGTTTTGATAATTAAGTAGTGTTCTTTTCTTTAATGTTACATCTTTTATTTAAAATACTACTTTAACAAAAAAGTATAATGTTAGCATTAACTTATAGCATTAAAGTGCAAGAACAATAAAAACTCTTCAAACATAATTTCTCAAATAATAATTCGATTTGGGCTTTAAATACCTTTTATGATTCATTGGTGATCTTAATTAACATTAAATATTCAAGTTAACAAAATGAAAAGGTGTTATAAACTAAGTTTGACGGACAAACAAAAGGAAAAAAATATAATAATATAAATGAAAGCTAGGGTACTTTATCACGAAACTAATCATGAAGAAGTAACCCCTCCCCCCCCCACCAAAAAAAAACATTTGGCTAATTAAAAAATGCAAGTAGACTAAAATTTCTGGAATTTTGTTCAATAGAAATATTGTTTTACCACAATACCAATTTATACTAATAGTTTTATGTGTCTTAAAAAATTTTTCAAACAGGAAGAAATTTTATTTATTATAAATCTTTTAAGATTGAAACTTAAATCCTTGCGATTTAAACAAATGACTAATTATTGTTATTGTATTATTTAAATATAATTATAAAATGCGACACAACTGTCAGAGAATAATATACATTTTTGAGAAAATGAATATTATTATTGCAAATGTATTTCTTCACGCATTGTGATTTTAACAATTAAATTATTGTACTTATAACAAATCGAATACATACTTTTAAACATTTTAGTGTTTATCAATTACACTATCAATCGCCTAACAGCTCATATTTTAAAAAAATAAAGCTTTTCCGGTATTTGAAATTGTAACAAAATATCCAATTATCAAGATTTCAGAATTATAAGTACTGCATGGAATAATAAGATTGAATCTGCTCTAAGTGTACGAAAATGACTCTTGAATTTTGTGACATTTTTCAGCTATAAAACCTGCCTACGAACAAAATTTTCATACTAAAGATAGAACAATAGTGCAAACTAACTGAAAACTAAATATCTGACTAAATAATCCCAGCTGCAATTAAACTTTAGGAAAATAAATACGAAAAAAAAAAATTGGGCATACAAAATTTCAGCAACTGGTACAAGTAAAAGAAACTAAGTATCAGCAAGTTTCTCCTCAATTAAACTTTTGATTTCGAGTATTTATAAAAGTTAGAATATCTCAAAAAAAAAAAAAAAAAAAAAAAAAAAAAAAAAAAAAAACTAAAAAAAATCAAGATTGGCATAACATCAAAAAAAAAATTATTTGTATTTGACTCAAAAGAGCTAAGTACAAATGCAACAAACAAAATTACAAATACTTTTTCAATCATTTACCATTTCAAAACCACCATGTATCCTTTGACTAAAGCGAATTGTTAAAAAAAAAAAAAAAAAAAAACTTTGTATTATTTCAGAAAAGAAGCAAATTGTGAGAAAAAAATTATTCATACAGCTTACCTTTTTTTTCTTTAAATGTCTAGATTTTTGGCCAAATAAGAAGAACTGAAGACCTTATTGCAAAGTAATGACAAGCTTCCAAAAAAAAAAAAAAAAANAAAAAAAAAAAAGTGGAGGAAATAAAAGAGACTGTGGATTAAATGCAATTGATTTTTTTATTCACCAATCTTTAAAAAGGAATGATAATTTCAATTCTGAACTCTGCAAATATTTAGTGGCATTCACGGTTGCTTTATGCTTCATTTCTTCCCCTTAAACCAACTTTTTTAATATTTAATGGTTCATAAAAATGTCCTCACTTGAAATTGTTTTACAATTAGGTCTCCAATTAACGAAACAGAATTAATAAGAAGTTCATAGTCAATAAAATTAAAAAAGTATATTTATCGAATATTTTATTAATTATCAAAGCGAAAAGGAAAATATTAGTTGTGTAGTGTTAAAAATTAAAATTAAATTATGAATCAACATAAAAAATGTCTATGATCAAAAACTTGCCTTAACTTTTTTGTATTTAATTTAAATATTGAGAATTGCTTCGTTTTGACACCATCTTATATCTTTTAACAATAAGAATTAACTTTAATTTTTAGTTAATATAAAAACAACTTAAGTTCATACATTTCAAATTTTGAAAAATAAATAAATTATTGTAATTTTTTTTTAAATTAAAAATTTATGAAAAATTGTTTTTTAGTATTAATATAAATTTTTAACATATCAATAAAATATTATAAGGAGTAATATATTAATGTAAGGAACTATTTTAAAAAAACTAAATATTATTTTAATTTCTCAGCATTTTTCTTCATCGGTAAAATTAGTTCAAATTTTCTGTAAATCAAGAGATGGAATCTAAACCATTCATTCAATGTTAAGCCAAGAGTAAAAGAAGAAAAAATTGTTAAAAAAAAGGAAATTTTTTTTATTAGTTCCAAAGCCAAACATTAAAAGTTACGGATAATTCCAATTTAAAATAAACTATCTGTAACTCTAGAAAACTTCACGCATCTAACATAGGATAAAAAAAAAATAATGTACTAAGCATTTCGCAATTTATTTTGGTACCTTTTATTCATTAATGTTTTACTGATTATAATTTCTTCTATTAAAGTTCTAAAAACATACCCAAAATAAATACACCGAAATATGAAACAAAACAAACCATTTTTTAACTAACATCATTAAAAATAATTTGTTTCACACATCCAAATAGTAATCAAAATAACAAGATAACATACAACTTAAAACACATCAATATAAATCTATCATTATAGGAACCAAAAAAATTGAATTGTAAACTACTTAATCTAATCGTACTTAGAATCTGAAATAGCAACCAAAATAATTGAATTAAAGACAACTTAAATCACATCATTGATGAATCTTACTATTATGCAAGAGAAAAAAAGAATGTATAGCATGGAACTTCTGAGTTTTTTGATCTCTGAATTTCGTACCGGAAATACACCCAGTTGAAAAGCACGTGGAGATTAAAACCCAACAAAAGCGATGCTTGCTTTCTTTCCCACATAAAAAGAGGGCTAGAAGTAGTGCTAGACTTAAACCACGTGCAAATTTCGGAAAGATTTAAATTGAAGCAAACTGCTGACAGTGCATCTTAACATATAATTACTCTGATAGAAATATAACTTTACGTCCTTCTTTCGTCTTTTCACGACAATACTATCAAATTTGTTCAAATCTATTTATTTATATTTTTTGCAACGTTAAATTTATCTACATTCTTTATGGTATTAATTCTCCTGAAATTGTTTTTATTAATATTGAAATTTTTCATTCATAAATTTCGATTTGAAAAAAACTAGTTAACTGCATTAATGAAGATTTAAACATAAAAAATCCAATGATGTTAACACCTTTCACAAATCATTTAAAAAAAAATATTGAAAAGTAAAATTATAAAATGAAATTTAGATAGACTAATTTCTAATTAATAAAAAGTTTCAGTTTATGAATATACATTTCTATCTTAAACATGAACCGTAGAAGATAAATTAAAACACAACTGGAATTATATTCGATAAAATTCTTTTTCTATTTTTTTCTACAATGGTGTTTGTATGTGCACATGTCATCATTTTAGACAAAAATTTTAGAAAATTTAGTTAATAAAAACCTGGACTTATGAAATCTTTAGCTATAAGGATTTTGTCATAGCAATTTTTATTTTAGTAATGTTAAAACAGATCACAATTATGGAGTGTAAGTTCTGGTAATAATGTAAAACTAAGATTGGTAAAAAGCATTTTTTCTTCCAAAGAAGTTGAATTTTGTTTATTATGGCTCGTATCACAAGGAGGACTAGAATATTTAATTTCAGATAATTTAGAAAGCAACTATATTTGTCTATCTATAAGCAAGGAAGAAGTTTTGTGTTTAATTGTTTTATAATACGGTAATATTTAATTAGATTTTAAACCTTCTTTTAAGTTACAAGAGCGTAATCATATTAGAATTAAAGTGCACTCCATAGAATGATTGTGCGTTAGATCTTAAATAATTTTTTTTTAAAACTAAATCATGCATTTTATAGGAATAATAAAGACTAGATGAACCAATTTTAACAAAGCATAATTCCTTCGTAAAAAGTTATTTAGTTTATTATCAGTAATATAATTTCATAAATTCCTTCCTAAAAAGTTATCTAGTTTATTATGAGTAGTATAATTTCATAAATTCCATCCTAAAAAGTTAGTTAGTTTATTATCAGTAATATAAGTTAAAATTTTTAATTACAAGGGAATAGCAACAGTATTTAACTATACAATTCTGTCACATCCAAGGTCCTGTCAATAAAATTACTACAAGTTTAAAATTTAAAAAAAAAAAATCGAATTTAAGCACAGGTAATATGGCGTGAAATTGCTTTGCAAAATAATCTCTCCAAAATACCTTCTTTTAAATTCATCGGTTGCAATTTATTTACACGATGTTATATATTATAAAAAATAAATTACATCTATTGACTACAGAATTTCCTCTCTGTAAAGAAAAAAAGAATAAAAACTAACAGAGAAAGAAAGAAACATTTGTACAAACGGCACGTGAGGTTATGCATGAATGACTATGCCTTTATGAAAGATATGCACAATGCACTTACTTTGGCATTGTTAATCCGCGAATATTTACTAAAAGAAAATAAATGAAACTTATTTAACTTACCTGAGTGGGTTTTCATCCATGGAAAAACGTTTTTTGTAGTATTAGTTTGTTGCTTTTGTTCAACTTCTGGGGATGTACTTACCCCAGGTCTGTTGTTTTCTGACACTGGTGTAACTACAGAAGATGGAACATCAAATTGGACTGAGTTCGGTGGGGTATAGGATGGTGAAATCATTTTACAATCACCCGTTTCAACAACCGTATTCATTAATGTCGATCTGTACTGTATAGTACCTGGATTCTGTTGTCCGTAAAACGTTTGATTGCATTCTCCAATGTCATAAGGATTATGAGAAACTGTTAAATTTGATAAGTTTCCGTATCTTGGTGTTGCACAATAGCTCGACAAGTCATACGGGGGTGTTTTGTCCGGTTGTGGGGGTGTTAAATTGCATGGCATTTCAAATCTTGGTACTGTGTATTGCTGGTACCTCTGGTACTGAGGTGTATAGGAAGCATAAGCATCAAAGTTCTCGTATTTCATTGCGGCACAAAAATTTTGTGCCGTATCCACGCCGTTGTTGAAATTGTTCGTCGGTGAGTTATTGCTGAAAGAAGTCATATTGTCGAGTTCGGCCGGTGAGGATGATTTGTGATTCGTCTCTCGATCTGGCACGTTTCTTCCTCGCCTACTCCCCCCCTCCTCGTATAATCATATTCAGTGAAAACAACACCACGTGACGTCTACTGACCAATCAAAAGGCGTTGAGCCGGCGTGTCACTCAGAGAAGACCACGCTCGTTTACTAGTGACAGAATCTGTAGGAAAAAGCTGCGATTTTCCCCAATCCCTTTTCTTTTGAGAAGGGGTGGGGGGACAATGCTCCAAACATGCCTCCCCCGAGTATCTTCCTCCTCCTCGTTTCACCTCACCGCTGATTCATGCGCTTTAGGTGTTGAAAGGGTTTCACATGACCGCTTCATTTTGTTTTTAAATCTCTTAGTCCCTCTTCACCGTGGGTGGTCTTCAAAGACCTTTCTTTTTGACGTTTTATCCACACAAAATTAGACGTTTCTTTTCTTTCTAAGATTTCGTTTTATTTTTTTTATTCACAGAACTTGTTCAGATTGCCTTATAATGAGATTTTAACTACTGCAACTATATGTAATTTAGTCACAAGTACAGACGTCTTTTTTTCCTTCTTTTCTTTTCTTTCTTTCCTTTTTTTTTTCCTTTTTTTTTTAAATGTGCTTTATTATTTCATGAAGAGTATGAATTGGAAGTACAATCATTGTTCGCTTGTTCGGAATTTGATAATTTATTTATTTTAGTTACGAACTATTTAAATAAAATGTAGTTTTAGAGCACAATCATAGCTTAATTTACTCAACATTTCATTTCGATTAACAGAATTTTCAAATAAAAAAAATTAAAATTGAGAAACAAAAAACTTTTTTCTCACCAGTACCAAATTTTAAATCTTAAATATTATTTTATTTTACTTTGATGACAAAATTAATAAAGATTATTAAAATCTCGAAATTGGATAAATCAGACGATTGTTGATTTTATATAGGTAATGTATGTAATATGATTTTTTCATAATTTTTTTCAAGCCCTTTTTTCTTAATTAAAATATATAAATTTCCCCCTTTTCTTCATAGATAAGAAAATTATCCATAACAGGTTAAAAATTGAAATTTCGGTAAATGTACAAATTCATTTTTATTTATAATACACAGGGTATTTATTCGAATAAAAAAAAAAAAAACAGGCATATTTTATGTATTTTAAAAATATAAAGTGCAAAATTCTATTTTTAAAAATTAAATCATTTTTCAATAATTTTCTCTTTATGACTAATTCAAGCCAAAATATTGCTTTTTTTTATTATGGCTTACTTTATTTGATATTCATAAAAAACTGAATTTCATTGAGGTTAAAAAATGAACTTTACTTAAAAATCAATAAAAAAGCTTTAGCTAATATTTTTTTTTTTTTTTTTTAAAACATTGGGATTAAAATTTTAAATTTACCCAATGATAGTGTTAGAATAATATGTGCAATATACTTGATTGATTAAGCGGACCGGACTGTGTAGATGTCTGGGAACTGGCCTTGCATTAAAAAGGTTCTGGGTTCAAATCCCGGACAAGGCATGGGTGTTCTTTCATTTTCTCTGTGCTTTCAGTCATTACTGCGGGAGCAACGTTAGACCCACCTAATAAAAAAGTGGCCAACGTTGGCCCCTGAAAAAGTGGCCAACAAATCTGCCTGTAAATGCCTGAATTAACGAAATGTTAACACAGCAGGGCATTGGAAATAAAAAACGTGATTGATTAAAGAATGAATTACTAAGGTATGATAATGTTGATGTGAAAAATTGTAGAACACTTGCATTTAAACTAAGTGGATACTTTCTAGTGTCAGCCACCACATTTATTTTATTTCAAATCGCGTTCTAATGATGTCCAATGAAACATTTGTATCATTAATATATTGCAGTGGTAACTCGTTTCTTCATTAAATAAATACAATGAAAAAATAATCGTATATCATTTATTAAGGAAGCACTTGAAAAAAAAATAAAAACTGGTATCAGTTTTGTTGTAAAGAAGTTAAATATTTCTTATTAATATTTCCCACTATCAAATCAAAATTTCACTGCCTTCGGGTTATTTACTAAGAGTAAATGAAATATTCTGGCAGATACAAACATAAAAAGTTTTATGCTAATAGCACTTTTTAATTTTTTTACTCACTTATTTTGAAGAAAAAAAATGACATTTCAGAAATGAGGAACTTGGTGTGTTAAATATATTTTTTTCATTGAATAGAGATTTGACGTGTTTATCATCAAAATCTATTGATAAAAATTATAATTTCAAAATTTTATTTACTAGATTTTTAAGGTGACTGACTTGTGCGCAAACATGAATTTCGGGAAAAATTTTCGAATTTGACATGATTACAAATTTAGATTTCCTGTACTCTTAGCTTTCCAAAAATGCTTTACTTTTGTTTGTTCTCGAACTATTTACAAAGTTAAAAAAGTTTTTGCGTAAAGTTATTACAGGGAATAGACTAATGATTTAAAGTCTTTCAATGTCTTTATCTCAAAATCAGATTTTTCACATTTCACACCACCTTAAGCACAATATCTTACGTTGTTTTTAAAATTACTGTCTAAAATTTCTTACGAGTGTTTATGATTATAGCACACATGTTTATAGCACACAGACAAAGAGAAAAAGTGGAATTTCATTTTTTGTAGAATTTTAAAAATGTTCTTTTTTAACAACATTGATCCCTAACTGATATGAAAATATCAGATATGATATGATGATATGATATGATGCATATGAAAATATTTACTCCGACCCGCCCCAATTCAGGGCATACGGGTAAACTGAGTAGTATATACATTTCCTTTTAAGATAACTGCTCAAAACATGTTTCATAGCCTTCTAAATAAAATCCTCAAAAAGTTTTTTGTTTTGGGTAATAGAAATTTTTTTACAGTGTTTAGTGCAGATGCAAAAAATTTCGTATTTTTACCTAAAAATGTCCATTTAAAATAACATAAATTTTTTGTTAGTTTTAAAAGTTTTCACACATAATAAAACAAATAAACTAGTTTTTTTTCCTTAAATTTTAAATCAATATTTAAAAAAAAAGTTGTCGGAACTAGTCGGATACCTTAAACATCATATCAGGTTCAGTAAATTGTTTATAAGTCTCAGAAAATGTATCGTAAGAGGACAGGCGCCATTTGAAAAGCAATACTTTTATCACCTGTTCTTACTACCCTCAAAAAGTTTCAATCTGTTTGGTAAAGAAAGATTTCCGCTTGTTTACCGGTTACCAAATCTGCCCCTCCCTTTCATTCTATTCCCTCCCTTTACGTTTTCAAAAGGTCCAAATATTCAACAATAGAAAGCTGTCTCAGATAGAAAGCCCAACTCAGAAAGCTCAGCCAACTGACTTTTTATTTTACAACTCTTTGGCAACTTCCTGTGTTCTTTTTCGGGCACCTTTCACAGATACCAGGAAAGATATATCACTCTTTCAATTGTTAATACTTATCATTTAAGGAAAAATAAACTAAAAATTTGGAATATTTATTTTTGCAGTCATATTTTGGTATGGGAAATGAGAATAATTAGATTACTTTATTTCAAACCATTATCTACTAAGAGGATGCATTAATTCTAGATATTCCGAAAGAAAAAAGTGGCAACATATTTTCGCTAGAGGATAATTTTTGGTATTAACTATCACTTCAGTTAACCACTTTTACGTTTGTATTTATTTATAATATATATAATTCATATAGTCACTTTACTAACCTTGGAAGTTTTGTTTGGAAGATTTTTCCTTTAAAACAGAAAAAGAAATCTGTATTTCATTACAATAAATGTTAAATATGATATTTTTCACTTATTTTTACTTTGACCTAAATAATTATTGACCTTTTCAAAAATATTGCGTCAAAGGGTTAAAAAAATTGCATGATTTGAGATTGATAAAAATATTCTGATGGATACGATTGTTCTATTTCTCCAACAATGTAAAAATTTAATTTGATTGAGGCTCCTGAAATATTATTTCAAATTCGATTTTACTTACACTTACTACACTTTTAGAAATTTCTGTACTCATTGAACCATAATCTCATTTAACTTTGTTGCAACCTTAGTATGGTCATATTATCGTACTTCTTAAATCTGATTATACGATATTAGGTCTGGGAATATGGTTCAGTTTAACACCTGATCAAAGTTGCTGTACATTTGCATCGTATTATATTTCAAGATACAAGAATTAGGTTTAACAGATTTAATGAGAATGTAGAGTTTTGAAGTAAAGGTTTGGAACAATATTATTCCGCAAGCCACTGCCGGTTGTAGTACTAAAGAAGAAGAAGATAAGACATAATAGGTCACTGTACCAGGGGAAAAACTTATCATGGTAAATTCTCTTTCACTTTCATTACTAACTTAAAATATCAAAAATAGAAAAAAAGTGTTTCGGCAAACGTAGAGTAGCCATGAAGTTTCAAATACCGGAAAGAAACTTGCAAAATACCAAAATGAAAACAAATTAAGAGACGATAACTTAGGATTAGGCAATGATGAAGCAATTATTTGTTCGCATTTTGATATTTTAAAATTTCTTTTTCAGCAACTGAAACCTCCTGGCTTTCTCAAGGTTTGACTAGACTCACTTTTTCTATGCTTTAAACTTTAAATTAGTTATTGAGGAGAAACAGAATTAGCGATGGAAAGTTTCTTCCGTGATATAGCGTCTTCTTACTGTCTGATTTTAAATCATCTTTTCTTCACTGAAAAATAAGTTCGGATGACAATTCTACAGATAAAGAAGCTGCATTTCTTTAAATACGCATGGAAATTTTTGTTCTCTTCTACCTTTTTTTTCTTTCCTAGATCCTATCAAGCCAGGACAACACATTGCAAGAAAAATAATATCTTCAACAGAGAATAATTTATTTAACTGCTTATTATTTTATTACATTTAGTTTTTTTTAACTGCTTATTATTTTATTACGTTTATTTTTTTATTTTTTATTTATTAATTTATTTTTTTAATTTTAAAAAACACAAGCGAAAAATAAAAATACTTTAAAATTTTTTTCTTTAAATTAAATTTAATTTAAAATTAATTCTATAGTAACATGTGACTAATGTTTTTTTTCTGTTTTGCTATAATATAAGTTTAATTTATTTTATTTGAAATTTCTTTTTTCCCCCTTCCTAGTAT